TGCCTGATGCAGTGAGAGGATGCGGGGGGAAGGGGTGTCTTGCAGAAGACCCAGAGGTAGAAAGGGGATTACCCCAGGAAAGCCCAGTAGGCATGTAGGATTTGCAGGGAGATGGAGAACGGGCGAGTAAAATACACAGTGACATACAGGTACTTAATAAAGCTGCAATTGCAGACAAAGAAGCATCATTTGGTAGATCAGGCTTCATTCTGGGTAGTGGAATTCCATTTTGTAAATCCAGATTATCATTCTCATTTGCAGAATGGAATTGGTACAGGACAATAAAAATTGCTCCCTCTAACAGCAAACTCAGGGGGGAAGTGACGACAGAAATGGAACCAGTGCAGGGTCTCTGAAGGCATTTCCAGGCCATTGCTGTGGTCAGGATTCAAGCACATGCTTGAAAATTCAGATAACAGAATTATAGTTGTTTGGGAGTCTTTCCCCCCAAAGATGGAAGTTTCTGCATTAAGGAAAGTGACAGGGAGTAGCACTTGGCTTGGTGGGACTTCGTCTAAACTCCCTGCCAGCAAATCAGGATGAATGCTCATTGTCTAACCTCCTCAGAGGGAAATCAGGATGAATGCTCAATAAACACAAACCAACCCGAGAAACAAGGGAGATGTATTAGCATGCTCAGGGGAACCCTGTAGTCTGCAGAAGCAGAAAAATACAACGCTAAGGGAATAGCACTTTCCCTCCTCCCCTCCAAAAAAAACCCCTGGCCCAATGTGGACTACTAACCACATTTAGTGTCAGATGAAAAAGAAAAATGGAAAACTGTGGAGCTGGGTGGGTTGAGTGTTTGCTGGAAGAGGATCATCTTGATAGACAACAGTTTTGTGGCTTGGTTGCTTTGTGTGATACAATACTTTCTAAAGGTAGTAGGTACATATGGGAACGTGTACTCCACAAGGAAACAGAATCCCCAGCCATACAGAGCTCTAAGACATTTTATATTTTCGTTCTCCCCCACCTTCATCACTCATGACTGCCACCAGGAAGGGACAGAGACTTCAAACTGCACAGTTACCCAGATGGAAACATATTACAGTACCTGGTCCTGGCCTGGGGTGAAGCTCTTTCACCTGAGATTAACTTCCAGACCCTGAGAGAGCAGCAGAGACAGCAGCAAAGTAATGCAAGGACCAGGGATATAGCATGGCAGAGCCCTATGCACACATTTGTTAAAAGCTTTTAAAGGAAAGCTGGCTGGTATGTTAAGGGAGGACCCAATAAAGTGGTTAGTGTGTCAAATTGGGACCTGGGAGTCCAGGATTCAAATCTACACTCAGCCATGCTGTTATTTTCTGTGTTGCTTTTGAGCGGTTTTTGGTGCAGTTTGTCCATAATTTTGAGCCATGTGTGTGGAAGGAGATTGATAATTAAATAAATAACTAAGGAGCGGGAGAACCATGAACTTCACCTTGAGGTCCCTGGAAGCAAGCTAGGTAATAATAAAAAATAGTAATAAATACTTAGGGCTCTATGTACATGCTTAGATATGCACATAGAGCTTCTCCACATGAGAGAGGACCAATCATGCTGGCTATGATGGGAACCCCCCCCTTGCAGCTGCATGGGGAATATTAAAGCAGGCTGTGTTGCCTGTTTGAATGTATCCCATTTGCGAGAAGAATGCTTTACACAGAAAATCAGCATTGCAGGGCATATAGCTGAGCGTAGACTTTTCCCTGATACCCTGTTTTCTGTCTGCAGGGAGGGTCTCTCTCTCCCCCTTTCATTCACATGGGTAAGCTTTCAAAGTCCCCACATCCCATTCTTGCTACTTGAATCCCTGCCATTCCAGGAAAGGCACTGCAGCCACCAGAGGGGGGGGGTGCCAACTTGAATAAAACATTGGAGGGGGGGCAGGCAAGCCCTGCCCCACCTAATCAATCATGGTGTGCACATATCATTTGAATGGCAATGCCCTCAACTGGGGGGGGCATCCCCCTTAAATATATTATTGGGGGAGCCCAAGGGACCCCAGCCTCTAGGAGTTGGCCTCCTATGGCAGCCACCCACTTGCGTGTATAAAGTGGCCATGAGGAAAAACCCTTCAGAACATGAAATGGTCCCACAGGAAAAGAGAGCGCTTTGACTGCAAGCTTCCTAGCCAGAGAGGGACTAAGGGAGAGGAGATTCCCCCCATTAAGTCTGACAGATGTGGGGCCTCTTGACAATAGGATTAGCCCCCTGGCACGTGGGCTCCTCAAGCTCTGCTTTGAAGGGGAAACAATGGGCTGTCCGCTCTCTGCTCGGTTCACCAGGGGTCACTCGTGCAGACATGAGGGCTTCTCATTCTGTGAGTTCAAATCCTTGCTCCTTCGCATGCACCATCCGGGAAACACACAAACAGGAATATTTGTATTCACGCACCCCTCCAACTGCCAGCGTTTTCTCATTGGCTGCTGCCTCTCTTGCTTTTGTCTCCTGCCAAAGGAAAGGCACCCTCTGAACCTGTTGGAACCATCTGCTGGTGGAGGGGGAAGTGGCACAAGCAAAGCGAGTGCCTCAACAGGCAGATTGATGGGCCGCAATCTGTTCTCTGCTACACACACACACACACATGCGCGCGCGCGCGCGCACACACACACACACACACACACACACACACACCCTTCCCTCCCTGAGCATCCCAGTCTGGAGATGAAGAGGACATAACACCACCCATCAGCTAATGAATTAATTAGTAGTCCTGATAATCCCAGACTCCGAGAGGGCAAGCTCTGTGTGAGATGATGATGACTTGAATTGAGTGTGCCTGGTGTTGGCATGTGGGAGAGAGAAGCACATGCCATATAGACCCTCTTAGGAGCTCAAACCAGTAATTACATTCAGCAGGGAGCCTGGTGAATGTGGCTGGTGCTACTAATAACAGAGAAGGTAGAGTTAATGGCAATGGCAACCCACCCACTACCATCCCACCTTTCTGCTGCCCTGTCACAAGGATGTTCAGCAGAAAGCCAGCCGTGGCAAAACAGACTTCATTCTCACCCTTCAATGCAATTCTGATCATGTTGTTTAATCAGAAGTAAGTCCCATTGCGGCTTACTTCCTAGTACAGGGATGGGGTCCTCCAGATGATCCTGGACTCCAACTCCCATCAGCCTCAGCCAGGAACATCTGAAGGGCCAAACTTTCCTCATTCCTGCCCTCATAAGTAAGTCTGCTTAAGACGGCGACCATCATGGATACTGTTGAGAATGACAATTCTGCGTCTCCTCCTCTCTGCCCTGTTTCATAAGGCAAAATATATGAAGTCATGCTATTTTGGTAGTTTATACCTGTTGCGCTTCTTTGTCTGCCAGGGAAATCAATGACACAATGGCAACATAAATGTTAGCAGGGAAAGGTGGATGAAGAGATGTGGGGTCTTCTTTTCAGCAGTTGCTAAGCATTTTCTGTCTAAATATTTAGAACTGTATAAAAAAATTTTTAAAAAATGTCCAGTAGCACCTTAGAGACCAACTAAGTTTGTTCTTGGTATAAGCTTTCATGTGCATGCACACTTCTTCAGATACACACGAAAGCTTATACCAAGAACAAACTTAGTTGGTCTCTAAGGTGCTACTGGACATTTTTAATTTTATATATATATATTTCAACTGTGTCAGACCAACACAGCTACCTACCTGTATTTAGAACTAGATAGAGGTGGGTTAACATGAGACACTCTTCTGAACAGAAGTGAGTGGAATTTTTAACATTTTGTATTTTTATCAATTTAATTTTAGTTTTTTGTCACCTGTTTGCATTTATCATCACATACTCAGGGCCTCTGGGATGCGGGTGGTGCTGTGGGTTAAACCACAGAGGCTAGGACTTGCCAATCAGAATGTTGGCGGTTCAAATCCCTGCGATGGTGTGAGCTCCCATTGCTTGGTCCCTGCTCTGGCCAACCTAGCAGTTCGAAAGCACGTCAAAGTGCAAGTAGATAAATAGGTACCACTCTGGTGGGAAGGTAAGCAGCGTTTCCGTGCGCTGCTCTGGTTCGTCACATGACCTGGTTCTCTGCTGGCCACATGACCCGGAAGCTGTACGCCAGCTCCATCGGCCAATAAAGCGAGATGAGCGCCGCAACCCCAGAGTCGGTCACGACTGGACCTAATGGTCAGGGGTCCCTTTACCTTTACCTTTACTGAGGGCCTCTAGGAAACTACCAACACATGTGAGCATGCATATAAGACAAGATAGGTTTCATGCCAAACATGACATTTAGCCTTGTCACAGCAGGACTTAATTTGAGACAAGGCTCACTGGGGCTTTGCCTGTCCCCTGGTAGCTGAGCTTGGCCTTCTTAGGCATGAAATAATGGTAAAATTTGTACATTTGAGCATGGAAGTAAGCAATTAATGTCTCCTAGTAATGACTGTTATATATTACCTCCAGAGCCAGAGGCAATATGCCTATGGTTGCCACTCACTGGGAATGACAAGTGGTCCTTCTTGAAGACTTTCCAGAGACATATGGATGACCACTTTGGGAAACTAGAAGTGCCTTTGGTCTGATCCAGCAGGGCCCTTCTTGTGTTCAGGTACACAGTCCTCAGCACTGAATGGCTGCAATAAAATGCCCACAGCAGTCAGGGCTTACAAGGCATCACCTCTCATTTTAGAAACTAAACATCATTTCCCACATAGTAGGATTTTAAATGCCTTATGTGGTGTTAGCATCGTCCTTCCTCCCCCTCTGCCAACAAGGCTTAATCTGAGCTAGGGCTTTAAAGAAAGCTTTAACTCCGCAGTATATCTACATAACGGCCTCGGAACATGTGCAGGTTTTCTCTTCATGCGCACACATGCCCCAAGAAGCCACAGCTACTTCTGCCCTGCATCTGAGATGGCAGAGATGGGAAGGCAGGTGCTTTGATGTCAAGCTCTGTAGCTTTCTGGGAGGTGGGATGATAAACCTTTTATTTCAGAAATTCAGCACTGGCTGGGGTTCCAGAAACTAAAGGGAGGGAAAACTTTCCTTGCAGACGTCCACTGCAGGCGTCCTTGCTGCTTTGCACTCTCTTTTCTCTACCCCAAGTGGGAGGAGCTCCCGGAGGTTCCAGTCAAGCGGAAATCGCCAACACCAGAAAGCTTTTCAAAAGTGTCGGGATCCCGAGGAGTTCTCCAGAAGCAAGAGGAGGAGCTGCCCGGAGAACTTGTGGTTCTGGAAGAGGAAGCAGCAGAGGAAAGTTCCTGAACCCCTTCTAAGTGCCGAGACCGCGCTGAAATCCCAGCGAACAGAGAGGCATAGGGTCGGCAGCCGTGACCCAGAGGAGAGCCTGTTATTTTGTGTTTTCTAGCGCCAGCCTGCGCCAGTGGCTGGGAGAAAAGAGAGACCGGGAAAGGCTCGAAGGCAAACCGGGGCTAAAGAAAGAGGCTCTTTTCCTATAGCGGAGGGGAGGGAGCTGTCCCCGGCCTCTGGTGCTGAAAGGTCCTACCGCTGTGGAAGAATGTTCGAGGAACACTGAACACTCAAGAAACTTTTGTTGGCTTCTGTTGTCAACAAGGAGCAAGCGGGAGGTGGTCAAAAGGCTACCCTTTAGCACGGTAAGAGGGGCTGGGAGTCATTTGCCAAAGACTGCTTTTTTTGTTTTTTTAAAAGGCATTTCCTTCTGACTAAAAGGGTGGTGCAAACTGAAATTGTGTGTTCTTTTCCTTAAGTTACGGCCTGCAGGTCTGAATCTGAACTCACAAATTTGTTCCCATCTAGAACCCTCAATTCCACGTGCAAAAGTAAGTTTGTGTAAGCCAGGTGTGATTAAAGTCTTTATTCATGTTAATTATCGGTACGAAATAGGGTTAAGAGTTCAGGAAAGCATAATTAATCAGTTTGAGCATTACCCCAAGATTATGCTTGAGCTGTCTTCCAGTCTACAAGGTACATAATTAAAATCACTTTGTACTTACCTCCCTCGGCACATTTTCAGTTCAGTGCGCACCATTTAGGGGTGGGAACTGGTGGCTGTTTGAACCACAGATTCTAACCATGCACCTACATCTAATATGTGGTAAGGTAGTACAGATAGTCAAACTACCTGGAGGTGAGAGAATGCTCACACTATGCATTTTGGTTGTCTGCATGGGCATTAATGCACAGTCAAGGTGATTAACAACGATAGATCAGTGAGTTTCTGCATGTTTTTCAGTGCTTGTGGGTGGGTGGAAAGAATGTGCAATTAAATCTGAATGAGAATCTATGAGAACAGAAGGGAATGTATCATTCCTGGACAAAAAAGTGTGACTTTTTACGTATGTGATACAAGTGTAGAACAGGTGGTTCTGATTTGTTTTAATAGTTCTCCACATAGACCTGATAATTAGGAATTTGAGATTAATTCATCCATGGGAAGCGGATGAGTTTAGGACTGTTTATCTAAGCCAGAGCTAGTGACCCATTAGAAAGCTCTGGAATTCATTCTGTGGGAATTTAGATTCATATCCCAACTCATGACCTTTACTGGGGGACTTTGGAGAAGCTGCTGTCATGGTCATCCCTAAAACTACAAATTCTGATGATTCCCTTTGAAGTCTTGTTTTGAAGACATCTGTGAAAACGTAATGTAACCCACAATAAGTGTTAGGCAGATTATAAGTCTAACACTGATTAATGTACAGCTCCATGCATTGCAATTGCGCTGACATATATCTTTGCAATCTCCTTTTGCAAATATGAGAGGTAAAGCACCTTGTTTGTTCCATGAGCAGCTTGTTATTCCATTCCATCCCTCTAAAGAGTTTTCCCCCCATCCCGCTTAATTTTACTGCTAATTCATGAATCCATTGCTTTTGCTTCTAAGCACTGGAGAATAGCTATACCTCTGCAACAGAAACCAGGCTTTGCACGCTGAAAGTCCTAGCTTCAGGTCCCAGTACCACTTGCTAAAACTTTGGACAGCAGCTATCAGTCAGTAATACTGGGATAGATGGACCAATGGTTTGCCTTAGGAGGACAAGTCATTTTACATCTTTGACATTTGTCTTTCCTCTTACTGTATATTTTTGGCAACGGTATTATTATTATTATTATTATTATTATTATTATTATTATTATTATTATTATTATTATATCCTGCCCATCTGGCTGGGTTGCTCCAGCCACTCTGTGTGGTCCCTTGATCTGTTTAGTAAGCCAAACATGTCCCATTTATTTGGAAGCCGATAAGAATAAATGAAATGTGTGGAACAACGATACATATAAGTGTGTGTATGTGTGTGGAAGGTCCTATTATGATCTATAAAAAGAAAAACTAATGTAGAATATGGATGCATACACCCCATACATTTAAAGCACATTTTTAGTCTCTAGAGAATCCTGGGAACTGTATTTTACCCCCATAGAGCCACAATTTCCTGCACCCTTAACAAACTGCAGTACCCAGGATTCTTGGGGGGGGGGTGGCTTCCAATGTATGGTGTGTATGCAGTCGAAACCAGATATCTGGTGGCCCCATGGCTATTTCAAATGTGGAAACATTATCTTTTTTTCTGTGCCCCTTGGCTGTGCCCCTTCTGGCTCTGCTTTACCCGAGACTTCCCCAAGTGCATTGAGAGACAGCTTGTCGAGGAATATTAACCAGATGTGCCAACCCTTCCATCCCATTGCTTTGGGAAGAGAGAGAGAGAGGAATCATAGCAGGGGTAGGGGAGTGCTTTGCTCGTAAGGGTTCTTTCACCTGGGCTGATTTGCTCCATCAATATATTTCTTGCAGCGTCTAGCCCTAGTGGGGCAGCAGGGTAGGGGTGGAAGACCAAGCTCTAATCCACAATATTTTATTGGCAAAGCATGTGATAAATGTCACCATAATGTGCAGAATGGCCCAGAATTCCAGACACAAACTTTTAGGTACATGTTACTGAGAAATCAGGAAGTACCTTGAATACTATCTAGTACAGTCCCTATCTGAAAGCAGATCCTAATTATTGGGTTGTTTCAATAATAATAATAATAATAATAATAATAATAATTGCACATGAATAACCAATTGCATAACTATATTTTCTATATAAATGGGATGACATTTGGTTCACATTTGAAATTTAGCAAGAATTTGCAGTGGGTTTTAATCTTAAAAGAAACCTTTGCTTGTTCAAATTTGGTTTTTTAAAATTCAGTAAAGAAGGTTATTAAAAAATAGAAATACTCATTTAATTGTGTTCAATTTTGAAGCAACAGCATAAAGTTTTACCCTGTCAAATAAAATTATTTTGCTCTTTCATAAGCCCTAAACTTTATAAAATAAAATTTATAAATGGGAATTGTATGTGCGGGAGAGAGACTAAGAGAATACATATTTTTACTCCAAGCAGATTCAGGTTAGCAGATGTTAAGTTAGCAGAGTTTCTTTCTGTTTCTCTTAATGCTATTCTTAAATCTGTATGCGCATAAATTGTGACCCATTTGGCTGAATCCAAAGAATCACATAATCAAGGAGGATTTGAGTTTCTGTTTATCAAAAAGCATCCTCTCGTGCTATGTAGTAAATCACTTCTGAAATTGAGGGGACTTTGATAACCACTTTGTGATACATCACAGAGTTTTGCTGTTCATTGCAAGTAGTCAAGCATCCTACTGGGCTAATGTAGCATGGCTATTTGAATCCTGGTCATTGTGTCGTCATCATCATCATCATTAAAAATGATACTTTTCAGATTTATAATTTCACTAATTTTACAATCATTTTAACATTTCAAAACTTGACATCCTTTGCCCTCTTTCTGCAGTTCCTAAAATTTACTTTAATATCTTCTGCATATCCAAATTAACTTAATTTGCTCATTTATTCATCTACTTTAAATATATACTCCTGTAAAACTGCATGTTATTACAATAAGCCTGCCAATGTTCTTATGTGTTTACAATTTATCTATTAATATTCAATAAACCATTTCCATTCTTTTATAAAAAGTTTATCTTGATTTCTTATTCCTCTGGTAAGTTTTGCCATTTCTGCATATTCCATAAGTTTTTGTATCCATTCTTCCTTTGCTAGGACTTCTGCTTCTTTCCATTTTTGGGTGAGCAACATTCTTGCCGCTGTAGTTGCATACATAAATAGGTTTCTATACAGTTTAGGTAGTTCTGTCCCTATAATTCCCAAAAGGAAAGCTTCTGGGTTTTTTTTTTACAAACATTATTTTAAACATCCCTTTCATTTCATTATATATCATTTTCCAGTAAGCTTTAACCTTACTACAAGACCATCACAGATGATAAAAAGTACCTTCTTTCTCTTTACATTTCCAACACTTATTTGATTTAGATTTATACATTTTTTGCCAATGTAATGTGTTAGATACCATTGATATATCATTTTCACATATTTTTCTCTTAGACCATAACATGCTGTAAATTTTATATCCATATTCCACAATCGTTCCCATGCTTCCATGTCTATATTATGACCAATATCTATTCCCAATGTATCATTGAGGATTTTACTTGCTCATCCTTTGTCTCCCATTCCAATAATATTTTAGACAGCACTTTTACATTACATTACATCAGGTCTCTCTCCAATTGTGATATTTGTTCCCAAAACCCTCGTATCCTATCTTTCTTAAATTCTTCATTCAAATGATGATAGTGTATCTATGCTGGTAACTTTCCTTATAATTCCTTAAATTCTTTTAATTTATACTCTCTTCCCTCTTGTTTTAATAAATTTCTGTAAGTTCTCCACCCTTCTATCATATTCTTTTTCTTTACCACTATAGCTTTCAATGATGAGAACCAAAGTGGTGTTTTTAATAAATTCTTGGATTTATCCTATACTCTACAATTTTTTCCTAATTATATGATTTGTAAATCTTTTATGAACTTTCACCTTTTCATACCATAAATAAGTGTGCCAACCAAAAATATTGTCATGATCTTCTAAGTCTAGAATATGTGAATTCTCTAACGCCATCCATTCCTTCAACCAACAAAGACAGGATGCCTCATACTATGGTCTCATATCTGGCAGGGGAAAATCTCTTTCTTTTGCATCCATAAATATTTTATATTTTATTCTTGATTTTCCCACGTGCCAAATATATTTAGAAATATCTTTTTGTCATGAGTTGCAACCAACCTGATCATTGTGTCTTGCTCTGTTCTCAGTTAAAATGGTGGATATTTTAGAGCTGAGCTGAAAGATCTAGTCATTTGTTTTTTACCTTTAAAGTTGTATTTTAGTCCTACAATTTGTTGTGCCTGTTCACAGCTGTTTGTCACAATCACTAGTATCCCTTGTGCTGTTGCTTCCAGTACCATTTTCCTCCTATTTCCTTTCTTCTCAAGGAATCTCAGTCAATCCTGGATCACATAACTGGATGTGATGATGTCACTGCACAGCATTACCTATATTATTTTGCTGGTGGTGTCACAATGGAAAGGGAGCCATTTTGAATGAGGGCAATGCCAGCTATATATAAGAAATTCTAGCCAACCAGGGATCATTCTAACAACTAAACACTTTTGTAGCCCTTTCACATGTAATTCTGAAAAAAGTGCTAGAGGACCCCCCCACTCACCGGCCTGACAATGACAGTTTTTGTGAGAGAGTGGGAGCCTACACTTTCAGCTCATCCAAAGATCATTGAGATTTAAGCTTTCATCATTTCTAGATCATTTCACAAAGCTATATGGCATTGGCAGAAGGAAACAGAAGTTGTCCTTAAGCTCAGACAGAGTAGTGTGTGTCAGTTCAAGGCATATCCGAAGGACATTTTCCTCACCCGGGTGTGACAGCAGCGGGCCCAGCCCAGGCCCAGTCACTGCACCAGCTTCAGGTCAGCACAGCAATTTGCCTGCCCCTCCCTCTGGTACCTTCCACCCTGGACAGTATGAGCAGCAGGGCTGTAGATGTGATGCTGACCCTCCTGCTCTGCTAAGCCCCCATCACAACCCAGCCCAGGGTTTAGCTTGCAGCCAAAGCCTGAGCAGTCTCACTTATACCCAACAGGTCAACCACCACCATACTCAGCAGCAGCCTGCAGATTTGCACACCTTGTGTGACCCACCAAACCAGAGACAGTACACTAGCCATGTACGGTGACTTACTATGGGTTTCTTATCCTCCTTGCTTGTTTTTCAGTTCTGTGTAGGCAGCAAAAAGGGTGACATTCATTGAAGTTCTCGAGAGCCATCAAAGGAGCTGCGTTCACTTGCTGGATCCCAAGTTGTTCTCTCTTGTCAAGAGACAGTGACTGGTCCATATTTACCCAGTAAGCCTTGTGGCTCGGTTGGGGTTTGCACCTGCATCTCCCCAGGTCTAGTTCAATGCTTGCCCCACAACACTGCACTGCACCCCTAGGAGCAGGGCCTCCCGCTGTCACAGATCAGGTGCATGCAAGTATCTGGCCCACATGTGTTCCAGGGTAAGGCTAGGTTTGCTACATTCTAATTACTTACTAAAACATAATTAGTGTCTGCTTGGAGCCTATGGGACACACTACCCATTTGCACAACAATTAACACTTTAATCCATTATACAAGTCCCATCAGGCATATTAAAAGTAGGATTTGCTACACTGGATGAGGCGACGGCCAGTTGACCGATTAGTTGGATGGCACATTTTCAACAAAGCTGCTTACACATTAAGCTTTATTAAATGAGTACGTCAAGCTGACAAGCAGTTGATTATCATGAAACCCAGGCTGTTGTTTTTTCCTGTTCTTTCTCTGTAGTGTTGTCGTAGCATTCATTATTCACCAGAGGCTGACTCCTACCCTGAGCAGGATCAATCTGCACCGCAACATTTTGTTGTAGGTCCCTGTATTTGAAATGTGAAATTCTGCCTCAAAATTCAAACAACAGAGATGGATAGATAGATGATATCACAGACATCTGATAAATAAATTACGAAGCTAAGAATCCATCACTAAAAATGTCCAGCCAAACTTAGTAAGTTCCATTAAAACAATTGGGTTTAAATAAATCTCAACTAATTTGTTCTATTGGATTCTATGTACAGTGGACACTCGGGTTGCGAACGTGATCTGTGCGGGATGCACGTTCGCAACCCACAGCGTTCACAACCCACAGTGGCGTGTCTGCGCACTTGCGGTTTGTGATTCGGCTCTTCTGTGTATGCGCAAAGTGCAATTTAGTGCTTCTGTGCATGCGTGACCGCCGAAACCCGGAAGTAACCTGTTCCGGTACTTCTGGGTTTCGGTGGTCCGTAACCCGAAAAAACACAACCTGAAGCGTCTGTAACCTGAGGGATGACTGCATCTTCTATTTAAGGAATGATTATTAACTTGAGTTGAATCAGGTCCTTTAGGTATAGATTTTTATCCCACCTTCTCACTATGCTCAGAGTAGCAGAGTGTTGAGATTATGAAAACTCAGAGAGATTCCTATTTTATTATTTAATATATTTTAACTTCCTCTCCAAGTTCTTACAGATGTTTCTGTGAATGAAGATGCCCCTCACCCCAATTAGCATCTGATTTTATTTTTGGTAAAATTTGGTGACAACTCCAATTAGCTTTTCCATACAAATCTGTTATGTGGCCTATGGCATTTTTTCATTTGCTTGCATGGAACTCAGGTTACAAGGTATAATTGTGGATCTAATCTTCTCTCACCCCTAAAGGAAATATTCTGATCATCTGTTTCAGACCAGTGCAGCCTATGACCAACCAGTACGGTCTCCCCACCAGGGCTTGTAAACCTTCTGCATTTGCTTCCTACCCAGCAGTTAAAAAACACGAGGGGGTGATGTATCAAGCACCCATCAGGCTAGTGGGCTTCTTTTGGTATTGTGCATTTGCAAGCTGTGCAGGTCTATGTTTATGGCAGGGATGGGGAGCCTGTGGCCCTCCATATGTTTTTAGACAACAACTGCCATCAGTCCTGACTGTAGGCAACACTGAGAGCATAGGCTGATGAGAGTCCAATAACATCTGGAGGGCCACAGGTTCCCAACCCCTGCTTCCAGATAAAAAGCTATAGGAAGATTAGAGAAAGGTCAGGGTTAAGCTGCACAGTATGCTAAATAGACAAGGTTGTCTCCATCAAATTTTTATTCAGAGTATACCCATTAAAATTACCGGTAATTGACCTAAGTTACTTCTGTCCACTAATTTCAATGGTTCTGCACTGTGTATGACTGACATTGCATACAAGCACCACAGGCTAGAACAGAATGGTAGAACATAATTTCCTGGGTCATACCTCTTTATATAAAATGATAAAGTCATCTTGTGGACCTGCTCATTCCTGAATTCATCTGGATTTGTGGTTGCTGTTTTTTCCAGGGTCAAGGGATGACCAAACTCTACAGCAAGTCCAAAGAAATGGCCGAGCTCATATCATCTCAACCATGGATAGATGAAGCCCTAAGCTCCCAAGATGAGATGAAGGAAGAAGATAGCAGGCAAGCCTCCTATGGGATACTTGCTGGACTTAATGAAGAGCATGACAGTATTGAGGAGGAGGAAGAGGAGGAGGAAGATGGTGGGAAGCCAAAAAGAAGGGGCCCAAAGAAGAAGAAGATGACCAAGGCAAGAATGGAGAGGTTCAGGGCCCGCCGGGTGAAGGCTAATGCCCGGGAGCGAACACGGATGCATGGGCTCAATGATGCTCTGGATAACCTTAGGCAGGTGATGCCCTGCTACTCCAAGACACAGAAGTTGTCCAAAATTGAGACACTCAGACTTGCCAGGAACTATATATGGGCTTTGTCAGAGGTCCTGGAAAGTGGGCAGACTCCAGAAGGGAAAGGTTTTGTCGAGATGCTATGTAAAGGTTTGTCCCAACCAACCAGCAACTTGGTGGCTGGCTGCCTGCAGCTGGGACCTCAAACCCTGTTCTTGGAGAAACATGAGGAGAAAAGCCCTGTCTCTGACTCAGCTGTGCCCAGCCACAGTTTTTCTTACCAGTCTCCTGGGCTGCCCAGTCCACCGTACGGAAACATGGAGGCCCACCTTGTACACCTAAAGCCTCCCACATTCAAAAGCCTTGTGGATCCGTCCTTTGGCAACCACCACCAAGACTGCACATCTCCGGCATATGAGGGCCCCTTGACACCTCCCCTGAGCATCAGTGGAAATTTCTCCCTAAAGCAAGATGGTTCTCCAGACCTGGAAAAATCATACAGCTTCATGACCCACTACCCATCTGTTAGCTTGAGCAGCACTCATGGGCACAGCTCTCATTTCTCAACCTCAGTGCCCAGGTATGACATCCCCATAGATATGAGCTATGACTCCTATCCTCATCATGTGGTTGGGGCCCAGCTCAATGCAATATTCAGTGAATAACCCAAGAAGATGAATCCCTCATGGATTAAAGGAATACGATCCTTTGTAGAGATGGCGTGGCATCAGTAGAATTAATACTGTGAAAAGGAGTTTACTTGCTCTACTATGATCAGAATAGTTTCATGGGCAGTCATACCACATTCGTCTGAGCACAAATATATTTTAGTTGTGTTGGTTTATGGGCTTTCAGACAGGTTCCCATTCCTAAAGTGCAGCTCCAAATTTCTTCATGGTTTTTGTATTTAGGATGCAGACACAACATTTACAGTTAACAATGGAGCTGATTTGGAGTATCCTCATTGCATCCACTACAAACACCCCCCCCCTTTCCAGGGTCAAACACTGGAATGAAAATGGCTCTGCATGCTTGCAGCAGAAGCTGGCAGTGGGTGGTGCTGATTAACTATCACCCATGACATCACCATTACACCACCATATTCAGTTCCCAAAGCAGCCTTGCAAATGCAATTAAAAAGTTTTTTTTTTAAAAAAAGGTGGATTGTTAATATATAAATTAATATGAGTACATAAAATAAAAGTTGGAAAGCCCACTCAATGCAATGGGGAGAGGCAGGCAGCTGACTGATTAATCCAATGTTATTTCTGCCAAGCAAACTGGAGTCAGAGTCACACCACAGGCAAAGAAACTGTTGTGTCTTCTCTTTCTTCACATTTAGATTTGCCATTTTGCCCTAAACTGAGTGTTCAGGGCTTCCACACAAATCTGCAGAACACATTGCCATGAAACCAGGCACAAAGCTGGTATAAAAAGTGTGGTGTAGGGCTTATGCAAAAGCCTGGGGAATGGGAAGACAAAGTATTATTATCATAGTGCATCTGTCTTCCTGACCTTTCTCTTCCCCTTCCTTTCACCTCTCCAAATCAAGGATGGGGAACCCAGGGCCACCCAGATGCTAGAGTTCAGTTTCCTTCAGCCTCAGACAGCATGGCCAGTGGTCAAGGATGATGGGAGTTTTAATCCAGTGATATTAGAGGGGCACAGGCTCCCCATGCTTGCTCTAAATAATAGACTGCAGAAGGGGATAGAGTAGTATCTACATGGGACCTTCGGGTGGTGGGGGTGGGTAATACAATGAAATAATGACAACCCTTTGCAGCCACCCTTTTTGATTTATGGCTCTCCCATAAAATTCCTCTGAGGAGGGAAATATAAATCTATGACCGTTGCCCCTGCCCTAGTGCAAAACTTAACACCAGCTCTAACAGAGGTGTGTGAGACACCTATTCCCCCCCCCCACTGCTTTAAGCTTATTAAATTTATCACAATTCTTTAGACTCACCTAGATCAGCCTTTCAGATGTTTCACTTCCGAAGGCACCTCCATTTTGGCCTTGATTTTTGTAGTAAGACAAAATCAATGCCAGCCCTAAAGAAAGTGGCGAAGTTCATAGACTCCCATTTCTCGTGACAGTCTTTAGTTCCCCAGAAGTCAGAAAAGAGCAATTCCCAGGAAGGAGACACCAGAGAGATTCTGCCTGCTCCCTGTGAAAAAAACAACCGATGTGAAATCATGCTGGACAGGAAGAACACTTGCTCCTTCCTGTCCACTAGGAACGACAGGGTTTTGCTAATAGGGGAAATAAAGTTAAGAGATCCTTCTTCCAACCCAACAGCTTTAGTCTGGATAATACTTAGCACCATGAAAACACACACACACGTATGGGGCAAACCCTGCTACAGACTGTCATGATCGCTTTAGACCAAATGTGCTTGGCCTACAGCTCCTATCTTCCTATGCTATTGACCATGCTAGCTGGGGCTGACTGGGGTTGGAGTCCAACAACAGCTTGTAGGTCACAGGCCCCTGTTTCTGATTTTGACTCTGCAACCACACTTTCCAGTTTTGGGAAGCATCCTCACTCCACTGAATCATAAATCTTCATCCCATATGTTCAACCACCTGAAATCCCAAATAGTGTCTAGGAGAATTAAGCAAATGATACAGACTTCAGGCTTCAGGCTTCTTCCCAAGGGGCTTTGGTGAAAACTGTAGGGAGAAAGAAAGAGTAACAACACTCCTGAAAATGTATTAGGCAGTAGCTCCTCCCAGCAGCAGCCACATATGAGTCAACATCTTCTCATACACTAAGAGGATTCACATATAGGAGCTCACAATCACCAGTGCACCTTATAGCAAGGATGCTCCTAAAGCGCAATGTCTCACTTTCAATATGAATATCACACTGATTTATCTCCAGCTCCTCCATTGCCTAGCCTGTGTGTGCAATGTGGCATTGGTAATTCATGACTTCAGTATAGCAGCAATAAATGGAAGGCTAGCCTTCTCCAGTCCAGACCAGCTGCATCACTTCTGTTGCAAGATACAATGTAGTCATTCATTCTTTCACAATATTGAACTAAACCTCAATGGGTGGATCTTCAATCTTTCCAGTCGAGCAAGAGACTCACACCCCACCACCATTTTTTAAAAAACGCTCATTTGCTTGTGCCCCAGAAAGGGCTCAGTTCTTGGATCTTCTACCACCCTTTCTTCTTACAATAACCAAGGCATAAACATGCATAAGAATGTGGGGATATAAAAAACTGCTGGACTTCACAAAAGCAAATGAAGCCCATTACCACTGACTGCCATCTTTAACCTGAACACTCAAAAGTCTAAAAGCTGGTTGTGAGGACTTGATATACATGCTTCCAGGACCTCTTCTCTCCAGCTAGCCAACAAACAATGGTGTATTTTGTTATATATCCCAGCTAATGCATGATACATGGACAATTCAGGTTCCAGGGCCCAATCCAATTTGCAGGGCTGCCTCTCTGTATTATTCAGAATGCTGATATCACACTGCTGTTGACATTATTATTATTCATTTTAGTCCAGCCATTTAAATGCAATGTTTCTCCAATGAAATAGCATGTGCCGTGATCAGTGACTGCAGAGCTTACGTTTAATTTAATGTAATTTAAACTCCTGGGTGCCAGCCAGGCAAAGGTCACAGATGAGGTGGAGCCTGTCTTGGGACTCAGGTGGAATCTTGCTTGAGCATGTGTGTGATCCACACTTCCCTTTCTTCCACTCTTTCCAGGATGGCCTATGCTTTAAAATTCTGTGTCCGAGCACCCAATTTTTTGCTCCTGAGCTTTCCCCATGAAAACCTACTCTTGGAAGCACAATTGGAACAAAGAGCAATCTGTGGAAAACCCAAACTGACCTTTGCTCTGGTCAAGTGCTAAAGAGCAGGTTTTTGCAAGGAAAGCTCTGGGACTTTAAAGCGCAGTCCTGTACCTGGAAAGAGTGGAGGAAATGTGTTTGGATAAGTCCAAAGTTAGATGAAAAACAGGTGTCTGACTTCTTGTCGGAAGACAGAGCTCAAGAAGGACTAGTCAGGAGAGTGGATGGGGAACCCTGACTACCCAATCAAAGCACTCTGCATTGGCCAACCTTCCCCGCCTGGGTGCTTTCCAGATGCTGTTGGACTCCCATTCCCATCAATGCCAGATGGCATGGTGGCCATTATCGTCCAACAACATATGGAGTGTGGCATGGCCAAGGTATTTTTTTCAATTTTATTAGCATCACCCTGATTTTTCTTTCCTGTTACTAGTGGTTATTAAGCAATATGAATACTGGTATTCATTTTTATTTGTGTGTTACCAAAGTTATATATAACTCAACTGCGTTAATTACTGCTGTCTGTGAGCATCCTATGTGAACACTGTTCCAGGTAGTTACCTTGGAACTCCAGGGTGTCCAACACTAAAAGTTGTCACTGAAATTTGCCTCCTACAAAATGTGAAGATAATATTAGCATCTCTGCTTGGAGCACTGTGATCAGCTGAAGAAGATTAAAAGGAACCCATCAAAAAGGACAGGATACCCACTGTGCTCCTTTGTGACCCCCTGCTCTAGAAGGCAGCCGGCCAAGTAAAAGCCATGTCTAAAGTGTCCCTATTATTTATTATTAACCCGGATTCTTCTAAGTTATTTCCTTTTTCATTTCACATGAAATGTGAAACATGCTAAATGACCTATGGTTTGTTTGTTTGTTTGTTTGTTGTTGCTTGTTGCTTGCTTGCTTCATTGAATTGACTTTAAAGTATTTTTAGTTGGAGGTGTAGAATTGTGGATAAATGTGTATGTTGGGAGACGTCTCTCGATCACTCTTCATTTCATGGTGCCTTTGCTCCATGGATATTTATTAGCTCTTATTTATTTAACTTATTCCTCTCCCCACTTTTTTTCAGGGGAGGGGGGCCTCCAGCCCACAGTTTCACCAAGTAATTATATACTGTATATGCTGTTTGTGTTCTCTTTGAGAGGTGACTTCTGTGGGGATTGTCACTATTGGCTGCAGGTGCAGCCAAAGAGAAGCAATAACAATTGCCAAGGCTATGCAATTCAGTTTAGTTTTCCTTTCAAGTTAAGCCAGAGTTGGAGTTGCCATACATCCAGGAAATCCTGGACATGTCCTCTTTTGGGGGGACTACATGCCCATCCGGGGGGATTTTTATATTTTAAAGCAAATTTCTGGGTTTGAGGGGGTGTATTTTTGGGGGGTGCGGGTGGCTCCTGTTGGCTGACCACACCCTCTTCCATCATTGCCTAGCCTCTAGCTAGAGAACTTAGGACCAAGTAGGAGCCCTCCATTTCTGTAGAGGAATTATCTGCAGAGATTAGAATTTCAAGAAAACCATTGTATTCTGAAGGAACTTGTTAATAAACAGCTTCTAGGACAAGAAGGGTGATGATGGTTGGGTTTATTTCATGGGGGTCTTTTTGTACTAAAGTATATATATTTTATCCTTTTGTAAAGAAAAGAGAATTGGCTCTTCTGTCCAAATAAAAGTGGTGAATTTTGTTTCAACTAAAAGGCTCATTTGATTTAAGAACGCTTCTTTCTAGGCCACAGGGGTGGGGCAGTCTGTGATGCCAGGGATTCAACCTGGGACCTTCTGCTGGTAAAATGCATGTTCTACAGCTGTGCCTGTTCCTCAAAGATCTCTCAACATCTGCAATTGCACACCTGCAAAATGGGGCCGGGGGGGGCGGGGGAGAGATGGCCATCCATTTCCAGAAGCATCCATCATCTGGGATGCTCAGTGTTCACAGGTGAAAGTTAACATTTCCCAAATCTTGGACATTGGCAACATCAATAGAATCAGATACAGACAGAAGGAAAGATTATCCCTCTTTCTTTGACCCATAGAAGAATCCCCTAAAGCCCCCTCTGCCTACAGCTTTCCCTGTTGGGTTATGGCTCCAGCTGGAGTGTATTAACAGCATTTTCCTCCTCCACTAGTGCCAGCTCCTCCCTTGACCTCTTCCCTGTTGCCTAATCCCTTGTAAAGTGCAGCCTGACATCCCCCAGGCAGTGGCAACAGCAGCAAGTCTCCCCAGCACTCTCCAGCACATCCAGTCTCTCTGGCGGCACATGTATCCAGCACAGCTGAGTGCCTTCTGCCAGTGCCGTGTGTATGGAGGGAGAGAGGGAGTGGGAGAGGGAGTGGGAGAGGGAGAGGGAGAGGGAGAGAGAGAGAGAGAGAGAGAGAGAGAGAGAGAGAGAGAGAGAGGTGCTCTGGCTGCCACTTCCAGTGTGCTGAGCCCAAGGGGAGTCAGGAGAAACATCTACCTGATCCCCATAAGGGGTGTGTGTGTGTGTGTGTGTGTGTGTGTGTGTGTGTGTGAACTCAGGCAGCTTGCTTACCCTAGTGCACATACAAGGGACTCAGGCAGCTAGAAGGGGAGGCAGACCAAGAGTAATGGGGCAGAGAAATAGCAGTCAGGGACTGACCCAGTTGCATCTCATACGTTCCCACCATTCCAAGCCAGCCTTTTCCCTCTGCACTATTGCAAAGTCAAAAGCATTTACATTTCATATTGTTGCATGCCACCTCAATTTCAGGGCAGTGTGAGATTCAGGTACTTATCCAGAGTTCTGATTCCTTAGGAATGACTGTGGTGTCTTTATGATGTGCTTTAAATACACATATATACAACCCTTGCTGCTCCCTCTTCACAGGTGCTGAACCTGGTTACTAGACATTTATTGGCCTGAACCAGATCCAAACTGCAACGACTTCACTTGCAGTTAAACCAAAACCAGGAAAGAAACAAAAATCACAATGCCTTAACTGCTGGACCAGGATAGGGCTATTATGGCAGATTTCAATGTGCCAAACAAGGAGATTTCAGTGGGAAGCATCAGGATTCTTGAGAAAGAGGCAGCCCAAAGTTTGCTCTTGGATAGGCCAAGGCCAAGGCCATCCCACTCCTTAGGCAAGGTGAGCAGATCACCTCGGGCAGCAAGATCCACAGAGGCAGCAGATCCAGCCTCCAAGGAATGCATCGCCCACTGCTGCTGCCACTGCCGCGATGGCAGCAATGGTTGTGGTGTGCTCCTTGGAGGCCAGATCTGCTGCCTCCTCGGTAGCCCCTGCCCCTGCCACCTCTACAGCAGCATCTCAGCAAATAGGTGGCGCTGCTGGTCTCCTCTCACCCATAGAGAGGGCATGGCAGGGGCTGCCCTCTGGGATCTCCTGAGCTCTGCATCTGCCCAGCATGATTCACAGCAAGCCCCTTCCAATACCACCCACTCTATTTTGGAAAGGTGGAGGACTCAGAGGAGTAATAGTAATTATGGTGTTGATTGTAAATTTGGGGCAGGTTTGTGTGGGACAAAGTGATCCTGAAAGTATCCGGATCCCAAGCCATTAAAGCATATTTACTTATGCCCAGAAATGGATATGCAACCAGTGCAGTAATTTAAGAATTTAAGAACTGGCCTAACAAGGTTTCCTTTAACTCATAAAATGCATACTGCACTCATTTAATACTTTGAAGTTACCAGGGAATGGACAACTATGACCCACCATTTTCTGCTCTGACTGGCAGTGACTTTCTGGGACCCCAGACTGAGGTTGTTCCCAGCTCTGCTGGCTGACATCCTTTTTAAGTGAAAGTTATGGAAATTGAACCCTGGATTGCCAGCAATGAAGGCATCAGATCTAGCACAAAGTCAGCCCTTTCTTGGTGTCTGGTGCCCTCTGAAAGTTGTTTGACTCCAATTTCCAGCAGCCCCAGCCAGCGTAGCTAGCAGTCAGGGATGATAGGCCTTGTAGTACAACAACATCAGTGGTGCACCAGGTTAGAGAAGGCTTCACTAAGCTAGGATCCTCTCAAATGCCCCTTTCTCTAATGAGAAATCAAAAGCACTTATCAATTTTTGTGTGTGGGAGGGTTGCCTGATACGTACTTGATTAACCTTCTTGTCCTTTCCCCCAGCCTTTAACTTAAGGCAGGGCCAGCAAGATGAGGTGATGGCCTCAAGGTGGCAAGATCCACAAGGGCAGCGGATCCTGATGTGGCTCTTAATTCCCCCACTCCTTGTTCCAGATGTAGCTCTTCCCTCACCCCTTCTTCCCTGGCAGGAGGGGATACCATTTGGGGGTACACCTCGGGTGTCAAA